CAAAAGAACCTCCAAGTCTACCTCCTATGAACCCTCTCCCCATTCTTCTTTGACAACCTAAACAAGCATCAACAGCAACCGTGGAGCCCATGCAATACGCGAGAGTGTGAGCTCATACGAGGCAGGAGGACATGGTGATGATGTCCTCCCCCAAAGGTAGGTGGAAGCCTTGGCAGGGACAGGGTGGTGTGTTGTGGAGGGAGCAGAGAGGAAGGAGCAATGAAAAGGAGTGAGAGAAAGGAGGAAGCAAGGATAAATATTGAAACGTGGAAGGAATGGAAGAAGGAAGGAGAGAGAAAGGCAGAAAAAAAAAGATAATTCTTTTTTTTGAGACAGAGTCTCACTCTGTTGCCCAGGCTAGAGTGCCGTGGCATCAGCCTAGCTCACAGCAACCTCAAACTCCTGGGCTCAAGCGATCCTTCTGCCTCAGCCTCCTGAGTAGCTGGGACTACAGGCATGCGCCACCATGCCTGGCTAATTTTTTTCTGTATATTTTTAGTTGGCCAATTAATTTCTTTCTATTTTTAGTAGAGACAGAGTCTTGCTCTTGCTCAGGCTGGTTTTGAACTCCTGAGCTCAAACGATCCACCCACCTTGGCCTCCCAGAGTGCTAAGATTACAGGTGTGAACCAACGCACCCGGCCAAGACAAATTCTTCTATGTATCCACTTGGTAAGAAATAAGAATTCAAATAGAGAAGGAAAATTCAAAGGCTGCACTTCACAAAGAGTCAAATGGAAATGTAAAATATGTTTGTCTCCTCTAAAATATATTATTCATTGCTCCATGTCACCGCAAATGTGTGTGCTGTATCCACTCACAGATAAGCAGAATTCATTTGCATGATTTAAATGTCACCTAGATCGTGTGAATAATAAACTATGTGAGCCATTCCAGAGGGTCTGAATCTTGTTCCCTGATGTCCTCAATCAGCTAAGCCCCCATGCTGGAGTTTGTAGTTCTGGGTGCCCACGACTTGGTGTTGTGCTATCTCATTACTCATGAAGGCAGCAAGGCAAAACAAACTGTTGTCCTTATCAGTAGCTTTCAAACACCCACTGTACATGGGGCCACCTCATCATAATATCAACTAAGTTAGACATAGTCCCTGTGCCCCAGGGAATTTTACCATCCAGCGTTGAAAGAGGCATGACAACAAAGATCTGCAGGAAGAGAAACAAACTAGGTAGTTATGCATGGGCAGGGGAAAATGATGATCTTTTTCCAGAGTAGCATTCACTGAAATTTGATTACTGTTTTATGATTTTCAAGGCATTTGGACATGTGTCATTTCCATTATCCATGTAATGGGGAAAAACTTCTCCCTCCACTTGCTTTCCTGGAGGTTGGTATCCAGAGCTGGAATTCTCATATTTGGCAAGTATTTCTGGAGTTACTACTATGTGCTGACTTTATTCCAGGCACTAGGAGGTGTAATAATAAACAGGGGAGACAAAAATCTCTGTCCTGGTCGTGCTTACAGCCTAGTGGGGGGAGATAGAAAATAAACAAATAAAATATGTAGAACATCAGATGGAGATAAGTGCCATGGAGAAAAATAAATCAGAAAAGGGAGCTGGAAAGAGCAGGTGGGATGGGAGAGGGGTCTTGACCTTGTGAGCAGGGTGTACAGGAAATGCCTTTGTGAGAAAATGATATATGAGCAAAGGTGAAGGAAGTGAGGGGAGGGAGCCACAGGGATGGTGGGCCAGGCAGAAGGAAAAGCCAGTGAGGTGCAAAGGCCTTGAGGCAGAGGCACACCTGGGGTTGGAGGCCGCTAGTGAAGGGGGGAGGGGTGGAAGCCAGTAGTGGGATCACTTAGTAGGAGATTGCAGTGATCCAGGCCAGACATGAGGACGACTTGGACAAAAAGGGTAACAATGGAGGCAGCAAGAAGTGGTCTGAGTCTAGATTTATTTTGAAGGTGGAACAAGTGAGACATGCCACTAGAGTGGAAAAGAAATAGAGGAGTCAGAGATGACTCTAAGGTTTTAGGTCTGAGCTGTCTGAAAGTTGGCACTGCCATAACAGGAAGGTCGTTAGCAGTACAGTTTAAATAGGAGGAGGCCACGACTCTTGCAGCATGATAACACTTCTGGGAAGGGAGCTGTGGGAGAGGGAGAGGTTGAGACCTGACTCTGGGGATGAATTTCCACCCTTCTTCAGCCATAGGTACCAAAGACACCCCAAAACCCCATTTTCACCCCACCTCTTTCCCCTTTTTAGTGGACATGATTTTTTTTAATATTTAATACAATTTTTAAATGAAGTATATCTAATTTACTTTCAATATAAGCCATGACTCTTTTAGGTGCTCAGTTCAATGAGTTTTGACAGTCATATACACCTCTGACACCAACACCCCATAGCAGATATAGAATATTGCCTTCACCCCAGAAAGGTCTTTCTTACCTGCCCTGTTGCAATCAGCCCCCATCCTGACCCCCAGGCAATCAATGTTCTGATTTTTTCCCACCCTATTCTAGAACTTCATATAAATGCAATCACACTATGTGCACTCTTCTCTGTCTGGCTTATTTGACTCAACATAATGTTTTTGAGAATGATCCCGGTTGTTGCCTGTATCCGTAGTCCTTTCTTCTTGGTACTGAGAATACCAATTCCATGTTTGAATAAGTCACAATCTGCTTATCCATTCATCTATCAGTGGTCATTTGGATCATTTCCAGTTCGGGCAATTATAAATAAAGCTTCTGTGAACATTTGTGTACAAACCATTTTGATGACATATGTTTTCATTTCTCTTAGGAAAATACCTAGGAGTGGAAATGCTGATTCATGTGTTAAGTGTACATCTAACTTCATGAGAAAGTTCCAAATAGTTTTCCAAATTGGTTGTACCTTTTTACATTCCTATCAGCAAGGTATGTGTTGCTCCACATCCTCTGCAAATTTTAGTGCTGTCAGTCTTTTCAACATTAGTCATTCTTGTGGATATGTGTAGTAGGATCTCATTGTGGTTTTAATTTTCATTTCTAATTTGTAGTCAGTATTTCGACTACTGATGACATTGAGTTTTTTCATGTGTATATTTTTCATCCACATATCTTTGGTGAAATGTCTGTTCAAATATTTGTCCCATTTGTAAATTAGGTTTTCTTTTTATTAATCATATTATACATTTTTATATACTTTGAAAATGAGTTCCTTGTTAGATATATGTATTATGAATATTTTCTCTCTATCTGGGGATTATCTATGCATTTCTTTTTAAAAACATTCATTTCTAAGTAATTGAAGACTTCCAGAAAAGTTTCAAAAATAGCCCAAAGGGCCGGGCGAGGTGGCTCATGCCTGTAATCCTAGCACTCTGGGAGGCTGAGGAGGTGGAGAGGATCACTCGAGTTCAGGAGTTCAAAACCAGCCTGAGCAAGAGCAAGACCCGTCTCTACTATAAATAGAAAGAAATTAATTGGCCAACTAATATATATAGAAAAAATTAGCCGAGTATGGTGGCGCATGCCTGTAGTCCCAGCTACTTGGGAGGCTGAGGCAGGAGGATCGCTTGAGCCCAGGAGTTTGAGGTTGCTGTGAGCTAGGCTGACACCACAACACTCACTCTAGCCTGAGGAACAAAGTGAGACTCTGTCTCAAAAAAAAAAAAGAAGTCATCCAGGGACCGCATGTTGTAGGTAAGTGGCCAGGATGGAGCATCACCAAACATTCCCACACCTGCATTGTTCACCAACAGTGCAGCTACCAGAAATAGCAGGAGAACCTCCTCCTACTTTGGTGTCACTCCAGCATCCTCAACATTTAACATCATGCTCACTGCAATACCCAAAGAAATTCTGTCCATTCCTGTAGAGCAGGTATTGAAGGGTACTTTTAGAGCTGGAAGACAATGAATTGATTAGCTGACACAGCATAGCTGAGGAATGGGGTTTTCTAAACAAGATGTATTTGACCTACCTAATATTCCATTGGAGATTCTAAAATAAAGGTGAAAAGTGGATTCATTTTTTAATAAGTGAGGAACCTGATTTCCACATTAGATTTAATTTTGTTCACAGTTAAAGAGATTTCAAGTAAAATTGTCTAGACCTTATGTCAAAATAGGCTCAATTGTATTAAAAAGCATTACATTGTATTAAAAATAAAAACATATAAGACTGCTAAAAAAAGAGTAGATAGCATGTATGTAGGAGAATTATGCATGTCTAGGCTCTCAATGAATTGAATGAACCTTACAGGGAAATGTTTACAAATCTCTAGAATAAATATTGTCAGAACTCAAATAAAAAGGCAAGCAGACTGGGGAAAATATTTTCATAAAATATTAATAGATCAGAAAAAAGTTTCTGTCAGTATTGCATAAAAATCTCATGAAAATTGAAAGGAAAAATACCAAAACGGTAATGTAAATGGACAAAGGACATGAACAGATGATTCACAAAGAGGACACACAAGTAATGAATAGACATAAAATTTTCAACTTTACTACCTCTTATTGAGATGCAAATTAAAACTGTAATGGGGCATAGTTTATGCATTAAATTTGAAAAATAAAATAGGATGCTGGTGAAAATAAAACATGGTGGAACTTATAAATGATTGATGGTGGTAGAAATTGCTAAAACTTCTCTTGAATTCAGATGTTCATATCCCTGGAGTAATCCTACTTCTGAGACTATAACTGAAGGAAATAATTACAAAAAATAGGAAAAGATTTTATGCATATGTTTAATGGAAAGCATTTAAAAGAGTGAAAGAATGGGAAGTAATTGAAATGTACATAAAAAGGTCAACAACTGTGTAAATCATGCTACTAATTATGTAACTATGATCATGGCCAGGTAAATGATTTGGCCATGACCAAAAATCATTGGAAATTAATGCAGCACAATAGGCTATGTCTCAAGCTGTAATGCCTAATTAAAGCAGAATAGCAAGGTTATATTTACATCACTTTCATTATCACTGTGAAAGAGAATATGTGTATGTGAAGAAAAACTAGAAAGTAACAAAAAAATGTACAATTGACTTATTAGATTGATTTTTAAAGTCCTGTTATTACTAATATAAGGTTGCTTATGCAACTCTTTTTTAATGGGGCAACTAAAATGAAAATAATCCAGGCACATCGACAAGAGCAGAGCTGAGCAAGGCTTACCTCTTTCTACATGATACACTTCTATTGAGTTGGCCTTATTTCTCATTTGCTTTTTGCCAATTTTTGTGGAGACACATCAACCCAAGGCCTCACATCATACTGAGAGAGGTTTCCTAAGCCACATCTCCTCTTCCTGTACTTGGGTGGCTGATTTTTGGACCCTGGTGTAGAACCTTTCATTTGTTCCTGTTAACGTCTTTTCTTGGTCTATATATTTGGCCCATTGTTGAAGGCTCTCAAGATTTTTCTGGATCCTGTTTACATCTGTTATTCGGCATATTCCCTGAGTACATGCTTGTTAGTCATACATTCTATCCATATTAAAATATACAAGAAACACAGTATGTTTAACCTAGGCCCCAATGACAGTATTGAACTGAGCAGGACTGAGCCCAGAGCACATCACATCTATTAACCAACACTTTGATGACATTCACTTTATAATCCACTAAAACAGCCTGGCAGCTTGTGCCAGCTTTAACAGGCAGCAAAAGTGATTGTCCTCCTTTTGTGGGTGGAAAATGAAGGTTTTAGGCTTACACGAAAGCACAGGTGGTTTTCCTAGGGCAGGGTCAGGCTTGTCCTCCTGTTCAGTGTCCATTATCTGAGCCCTTGCCCCCTATCCTACCCAACCCCTGCCATGGCATCCACTCCAGGCCACCCTCCTTGGTCTACAGGATCATCAAACGCTCTTCTCAAATTTTCCTACCACAACTTTTTGATTCAATATCCACACTCTTATCTCCTGGAGTTATTTGCATTTTAAAAGGGATCAAAGTTTGAAAATAGAAAGATGACATTCCAACAGTGGGATTTCAGACACTTATGGTCAGATAGTGGAGATTTGGATGGAGTGGGGAGGCTGGCATTAGGGTCTTTCAGGCATCCCTTACCTATCCACTGTCTGCAAGGCTGACCTGAAAGTAGGAGGTGGGTCCCCAGGGGACAAGGTAGATTAGATCCCATGGCCCCCAGTCCTCCTCAGGCTCTTAATGGTATTTGGATAGACCTTTTAACTCTTCAAATCTCATTCATTAATTTAATTTTATTTTCCTTCTGTTCTTCCAACTGCTAGGGAAGTAAGGGAAATAGATGCCATCACCTCTGTTGCCTGAGAAGGAAGCAGGCAAAGTGGGCCTTAAAGACTGAAACAACTGCTTCTCCCTACTTTGGGGCCTTTTCCCCCCAATCATCTTTGCACTCACTGAGAGAATTCCTGCAGGAGAAATTGATACATCTTTGCTTCTCATGTGAACCTTGCCTGCCTCCTGATAACTATTTTATTTACCAAAAGCCATTCCTACAAATTGCCTTATCATTTGCCAAAGATCTAGACCACCTGCCGAAGCAAGCCCATACACCCTCCCTTACTGATAACTGGGTTTATCTGTTTGCATTTCTGCTTATCGTCTATTAGTCTGGCTTATCTACTTATCAGGTTGTGTGTTCTTTAATACACTGGGCACCATATGGCCCTAGCTGTTCTGTTGCCCACCCGTGGGAAAAATATTATATGTGCCTTTCAACACTAACCTTTAAATATCAGGTCCCCAGTACATCTAAAATTTGTTTGAACTGAGATTTTACATAATTTATAGCTAAAATTCAGTTACCCTGGACCCCATTTTTTAAAACAACATGTATAATATGCATGCAGAATAAATAACAAATTGCATATTTACATGGTGGAACTGAATGAACTAAAGATATAAGCACCATCACTCAAACATACTAACCTGATATTGATTGACAAAAGCAATTCCCAAAAGACTATATAGACCATCACACTATTTCTATGTTTCAAAAATAATTAAAATTAAATATCACTGGGGAGTCCCCTAAGCCACACATGTGCGTGCTCATACTCAGACGCAATCCTTCTGGCACAGCACCTAACTCACAGGTGGGTAGAGTCTGTCTCACCAGGTTTCCTGGCTTCAGCCTTCCTCAGCTCCTGATGGCTGGGTGCCACTCACTTCCCCACAGACCCCTTCCCATTTCCTAAGTGTGCCCTGACTGAGGCTGAAGCAATTTAGGGTCCACCTGGTCCCCACCCCTCCATCCCAATCTCACCTGCCCTGTCAGAAAGAGGAAGTGATACCTTCTCCCTTCTCCATAGTGCTGTGGTTTCCTTATTCTGGCATAAGACTTTGAGTTTCTGTGGATTGCTCTCCTGGATCTTTTGGTGCCATGGGTTTGTTTGGGCATCCCACTAATTCATCTGGGATTGCCTGGTGCTGGTTGTGTCCTGCATCTTGACAAAACATTGCTGACTCTTCCAACTGTGCCATTCTTCAATTGAGACTTGAGCAATAGGATAGGTCCCCAGAAGCCACCCCACTGAGTGGGTCTTGGGCCAAATCTGGACTCTCCATCCTGGTAGCCTAGTATCTTACAGCTGGATGCTTTTTGCAGGCAAATTCACAGATATATCCCCTTCAGGCCCTTCTCTACTCATTCTGTTGTGTATTTCCATTATGTGTTTCTACCTTTCAGGTACCCAAGTTCTTCAGTGATAACTATTGAACACACATCATTTCCTAAGGGCCAAGTATATGCCCAATACTGTGCTAAATGACCTATCTCATCAGCCTCAATGACTTCTTCATTTTATGATTAATTTTGTAAGGTCCTGTTTTCTCCCTCAAATCTTAGAAATCGTGTGCATTTCAGAAACAAAGTCTAGAGGGATTTTTCATTTTTCAGAATGATGCCTTAAAATTATCTCATGATAAGAATTACTTTCTCCAAAATCAGCATTAAAGATTCTTTTGAAACTTTGAAATGTTCCCAGACAACAGAACAGAATCATCTGCTTCTGGTCTTCCCTCAGGACAAGCCAGCAGGAAACAGCTTTGACTTGTAGTATAAATTACAGGGATTAGAGGGAAGAAAGCATTTCCTGACAAAAAAAAAAAAAAATTGCACATGGTAACTGAGGTATGTTGTAGATTCCCTGGAATAAGGACACTAAAGTCCTTGATGAAGCTCAGTCTCATAAATTATGTTTTCTCTTGTACTAAATTAATTTCAGATTCCTTCCAGAAGCCCAGATAACAAAACAAGAATTCACCTCTCCTTCAATTTCTGTGGCTTCAGCTTCATTTTGTTGATTCACCTCTTCCATTTATTTGCTCTCTCACTCCCAGAATCCCTTGAATCTGAACAATTAAACCTAACTTTTCTCTGAGGAAAATTTTTCTTGGTTTTATTTCCCTTCTTTAAGATGAGTGTATGTGTGTGCATGCGAGTGTGTACATGCACCATCCTAATTTCTCCATTGAATAGTATACACTTCACCTCTCCCATCAAGTGTTGCATGAACTCAAAGATTTACAACTTCCGAAGATAATCTGTTCCCAAAACAGACAAGTTGATAGGTATGTTCAAGAAGGGCCATGAGCTCCAAATCCTCAGAGAAGCTCCAATTGGCTGGCTGCTGTGGGATCTGCTTTTGTGGTATTTCTTCCCAAGAGGGTGTCAGCCTTGAGAACCTGGAACCGGAGAGAGTGTCCAGGCCTTAGCCCAGCCAAGAAGGCTCAGATTTCTCCTGGGACCTGCTCCCACCCTCCAGAACCAGAGAGTGCCAGTGAGCATGACGGTGGGATTAGGTCTCCATTCTTCATGGAGCTGTGTGTCCGTGGAGTATACCTTCTGTGGGGAAATTGAGTTTGGAGACATGTGGAGGTTTCATTATATAAAATTATTTTCTCCAAAAAAAGTTTAAATTCTTTTGGCCTCAGTAGAGGGTAGTGAATACTAGTTGGATTGGTGCGTTTTACTTTTTATGACGGTTCAGAGAGTCTGGTGTTGCCTGCTGTGACAGAAGGAAACAAAAACTCTCCAAGGGAAATGCACATTACCCCAAAGGCAAAAACTTGTTTCTAAAATCTTCTATAAAGTTGTTAACAGGTTTCAGAAACATACACTTAAACTTCAAAGTCCCTGATCTTTGCTGTGTCCTCATCCATTCCGTGTGGATTATACCAGTGGTGAAACATCCCAAGGAGTCCGAGGTGGCCGCCCGCCCGGGGTTAGGCGAGAATCCAGAGGTGACAGAAGGACTTGGCTGCTTGCTTGCTCCTGACTCACCCGCTCTTCCTTTGAAGGGGATGGGGGCATGAGTGAGAGGCTTCTACCTCTTTCAGACCGCCTCTGAGGCTCCAGAGCCTCACCTGACTTTCCCAGAGAGGGTGGCAACAGGCTCCTTCCGCCGTCCCCAGAGGAGAGACCGGGCCGGGCGTGGGGGAGGGAGCCAGCTCGAGCTGCTGCCCAGCGCAAGAAGGAGCGACGAGGAGAGGCTGTGCCAGACGGAGGCGCGCCCGCGGAGAAACCAAACTTTGGCAGGGTAAGGATTTTAGGGTTTTGAAGTAGGAGTTCTTGGGACGCTGGGAGGTGTGCTGGGGACGCAGACTCCGGCCAGGGGCTGGGTTAAAGAACTACATGCCAGGGAGTGGGGCGGTGGCGCGCAAGGGCGGGAGGGCGCTGTCCGCAGCCCCCGGTGCTGAAACGGGACGCGTCTTGGCTGAAGAGAAAAGGGAGAAGTAAGGGCCGGCCCGGCCTCTGCTCCCACCCTGAACCTCTCCTGGCCGGTCAAAGAACAAGGAGGCGTCCTCCATGCTCCCCAAGCCTACGGCATCCCCTTTTACTCACGTCCGAGCCGCCCTGGGCGGAGCCCGCTGAGCCGTCGGGGGCGGAAGGCAGAAGAAGCGGGGCTGGCTCCTGCTTGGGACAGAAAGGGTGTCCAGCTGCGATCCCTCCACACTCAGTGACACCTCCCCCAGACACATTGTACCCGGAGGTCGCGGCCCGCGCCTTCACGGTCTGCAGTCCAGGAGGGGGCTTCCCGGCCGCCTGGCTCCTTGCTCCAGGTGTGGGGGTGGGGTGCAGAGTCTCCCCAAGTCTGTGCCACGCGGGGCAGCGGGGAACAAGTTGTGTCTGCGGCTTGGAAGGAGCATGGACCCAGGGGAAGCAGCGAGCTGGGGGCGCAGGGCTGCGTCCGGCCCACTCAGCCTGGGGATCCGAAGAGACTGGTGGACTGAGGAGGGCAAGGAATGAAAATTCTTTTGAGGAGTGACCAGCTACTTTTTTTTGTTGTTGTTGTTGTTGTTAATGATAAAACCATACCCCAGTCTTGGCCTCTCCTGGCCTCTGGGCTTAGTGCTAGGGTAGCGCAGAGAAGGGGCGGAGGGCCCTCTGAGCCTTCGCAATCCCCTAACCGGATAAAGGCGCAGGCTTGGGTTCTCAGGCTTTTCTTCAAAGCTCAGCCCCCCACCCTCCCCGACGCCCCCAGGGGGCTGGGTCTCCTGGCGCCTGTGCTGCGACCACCCCAGGCTGCAGCTGGGGCACTGGGGGCGGAGAGGGTTGTTTCATTTTCTCCCCTTGCAATCTCGCTACTTTATGCTGCTGTTGGGACTTTAAACTGTCACTCTGAGGTGAGCATCTCTGGCTAGACGTGGCCCGTGGCCTAGGGTGGAGGCCTATTGACACGCTACAGCAGAGAGGACCTGGCCCGCGACTCAGCACTCTCCCCACGGCTCTGGGGGTGCAGCCGCCCGCCGCGAATCCCAGAAGCTGGAAGGCGGATGCTCCCAGCCAGATCTCCTGGAGGGGCGAGGCCCCGTCGGTGTCGTGTTCCCTGGTGCTTCAAACCCTTAGGGAGTGGCCCCCGCCCTGGGTTCGGACTCCGTTCCGGAGTGGACAGCTCAGTCCCCTCCAACCTTCTCTATCTGCCCCTTCACACACTTTCATTCACAAAAAAATGAGCAGCAACGTAGTCGTCTGGGCGTGGCGGTCACAATTTGCTGCGTGCTTTCGGACACCCCCTAAGTGAGAGCTCATGGGGGGCGCGGAGCCGGGACGGCGGAACGTTGCGAAACAGGGGAGATGGTCACTCTGGCGTGCTATAGCCAAACCAGGTCTTCTATGCCAAAGTCTCGGTTGTAGAAAAGTCTACTGGATCTCAGGCCCCAGTTGGGATTTCACCGAGTTGGTGGGAGCTTCTTGGGCGGGGGTAGGACATGAACTGTCCCTTGCTTCACACGAATGCACAGACACACACACACACACACTTCTTCAGCCTCTGTTCAGCCACAGAGGGGTCCTCACCGGCGCGGCTGCCGGGAGGGGGTGAATGGCAGCTCTCAGAGTAACTCACTGGTCAGCGTAGAATCTCAATCACTTTAGCAGGGACTTTGGCCATGACTGCGCGTGGCCCTTGCCTTTGATGCTTCTGTTTTAATGCCTTTTCTGTCCTCATTCACTGTCTGCCAGTGATCACTGCGTCTGGTTAATAATGGGGTTGCCATGGTGATCAGTCTCTCCAGTCACCATGGTACCCAGGAGGTAAACAGTTGGAAGCTGCCAGGCTCTTCTCTGGCTCTCCGTGATTGCCTGTCGCTGGTTTCCCGCTGGAGGGAGGAGGAGTGGCCAGGACTAGAGTTCAGAGCCTTTCTCCAGGCCTACACCCCTCTGCCTCCCCAAGGGTCCTGCTCACCTGAAACCCTCTCTAATCCCACACCACCACCCAACAACACCGTGGCCTCAAGGTTGAGATGGGTCAAGCTTTTTTTCTCCAACCCCCATTATATACACTGAGGCCAGAGGGTAAATAGTTTTCCCTCTGATCTATTTCATTTCAGTTGCACACTGACTGCTCCTGAGTACAAAGCACAAGGCTAACTCCAGTGGGAGAAACAGAGTTAAATTAATTAAACAGACACAATCCTTGCCCTCTGGGACCTCACGGTGTGGTGTGGGAGATAAACCCTCCTACAACCTACCAGCCTGCCTGTGCTCTGGTTGGAAATGGAGGTGATAACAGAGCCTTTCTCTACTGATAGAGGTGGGAGTGATTGGTTCCTGGTCAGGGAGTGCCTCCCAGGGGAAGTCATGTTGGAGTTGAAACTTGAAACCAGCTGGCCAGAAAGAGGGAAAAAGTCTATCTAGACAGAGGGCCCAGTGGGAGCAAAGATGTGTGGATTAGCTGGGAGAGCAGGCCATGCTGTGGTAGCAGAGACCCGAACATCTTGCATCTTAGCCCATCGCTTACGCAAAGTCTGAGATGATGAGGTTTTGCAGGTTCTGCATCAAGGAGGAGTCCACTGGCTAGAGCCTGTCATTCAGCCCTTACCTGGCCCAAAAGCGGGGCTGGGGAAAACAGGAGGCACAGGCTGAGCTTTGGGGAACACCGTCTCTGCCAACAGGTGGGGCAGGAAAATCAATGAGACACATAAGGAAAGGGTAAGGAATTTGGTGTAGATGGAGCATCCTGTTTAGGCTGATTGGATCCAGGTTATAAAAAGTCTTGAATGTCAGGCTAAGAAATGGGGACAGTGTGCTCGAGAAAATAGGCAACCTCTGAAAGTTTCTGAGAAGAATGACATGATTAGAATTACCTTTTAGAAAGACCCTGTGGACACTCTGAAAGGTTCATTCATTCACTCATTCGTTCATTCCACACCCATTGAACACCTCCTAAGTACCAGGCACTGAATGGATTGCAGAAGTGAGAGACTGAAGATGGGAGATGAGCAAAGAATCATTTCAACAATCCTGGGGAGGGAGACAGGGCCTAGACAAAGGTAAAAACAGCACTCGAAGAGGCCAGTAACTGCTTCTCTCTGGTTCAGCCCTGTACACCCACTGCCCAGCAGAGACCCTGGCACATGGTTAGTGCTCATTCCTTTTCTGAATTAGTAAATGAATGGGTGGAAGTGGGCAGGACTTGGTGATGTTGGCTCTGGGGCAGTGAAGGAGAGGGAGGGGTAAGAGCTCTCACAGAATTTTAGCCAAGTGGTCAGTTGGCTCTGGGTGTCATTCATGGCATTAGCCAAGACAGGGGTTGAGGAAGGAAGAGCACACCTCACAGTAGTTGGGGCAGTGCCATTTGGAACAGTTTTGCACCAAAGAAAACTCTTCCCTGGACATGCTGCACCCCTCACACAGTCTGCTCCCAGACCTCTCCTAGTCCCCAGAGCACCTCTTTTGTCCTCCTTTGCAGGGTTCATACATTTCACCTTCAATTATAATGCAGTGTAGGGATTAAAGTTAAACAGACGTTCACCCTCTAATTCTGCCACTGGGTGACTCTGAACAAGTTATTTAATCATTCTTAGTCTCAGCTTCTTGATGTATAAATTGGAAGTAATAGTTGTGACACCTGCCACATCGGGTTGTTGAGGGGATTAAATGAACTGAAGTGAATTCTTTAGCACAGTGCCTGACGCATGGCCAGTGCTCAAAATTGGATATGACCATCTTACCACTTCCCATAATGGCAATGTATTACTTTTATAATCATACCACAAAAGTTCATTAAGAAAAATAAAAACCCTCCTGTGCTTGCAGCTAGGCTTGGTGAAGCAGGTCTTTGGAGAAGGAAGGCGATCCTTAGCTTGGCCTTGCTGGCCCAGGTTTTGTGGTGGGGGGAGTGGGTTGGGGAGAGAGTGTCTATAGGACTGGTTACAGAGATCTAGGTTCCCCAGCTCCAATATGATCTGGAAAGTACATTCAAACTCTTGGAATCTCAATCTGAGCAGCTGGATCTTATCACAAAGCATTAATTTCAAAACTGAGTACACTCAGGAACTCGGAGTCCCATGAATCCTGAATCGCCTCTGCAGATGACCAAGACACTTTCTAGGCATGAGACAGGTTCTTGACTCCTCGTTAAGTAACATAATTGATAACTTTGTTCCAATTTCAGTGAGGCTAAATCCCTTCCTGTTCTTGGGAACAATGTTAATTTTTCTTCTGAGGCAGGAATTGAAAATTTGCAGCTGGCATTTGGAAGCTTCCTTTTGCTTATGTCATAGAAATGCAGAGTTGGGAGGAGAGAGAACTTCACCTTTCAGGCATGAGAAGATTTCTTTGGGAAACAAGACTCAAGTCCCCTAACTCAGACTGATTACTTCCATTTTGGTGCAGGGACATTCTGGGTTTGGGGCATCCTCTAGTCTACTCTGCAGAGAGAGGAGAATGGGATTCTGAACTGCATCTCCCCCCATCACCTCACATCTGGATACACTCTCGTTGTCTAAGGCCTGCACTGTCAGTGGGTCCTTTCTTGGGCAGGTAGAGAAAGCCTGATACCAACTGGTCCCAGAAGTTGGCCTTGTCTCTTGAGAGGCAGGAAATTAAAAGCTTGCAGGCTCTAAAATTAGATTGTATGTTAGAGTCCTGACTGTATGAACTGTGTATCTCTGTTTGCTCATCTGTAAAATGGGGATCGTAATAGTACTTACCTCATGGGGTTATTGTAAGGATGAAGTGAGTTCCTATAGGTAAAAAGCCGTGGATAAGTGACTGGCCTGATGTAAATCCTCAGAAATATGAATTAATTATTATTAATGTGATATTTTGACATTTCTCCCCTTTATTGCATTTATATTTTGTGAGACTTCCTTGTAGCTGATATTGTGAGTTTTGCATTTTAAAAAGTATTTTTATTTTAGATTTAACATTAATTCTTTTTTTAGGATATAATTAACATTCCATAAAAGTCACCCATATAAAATGTACATTCAGTGGCTTTTAGTATATTCACAGTTGTGCAACCATCACCACAATGTAATTTTAGACGTTTCAACTTCAATACCCCCCAAAGTAACCGGTACCCATTAGCAGTCACTCCCCTCTCTCAATCCCTCCATTTCTGCCCCAAGCAACCTCTAGTCTACTTTCTGTCTCTGTAGATTTGCCTGTTCTGGACATTTCATGTAAATGAAATCATGCAATATGCGGCCCTTTGTGTCTGGCTCCTCCCACTTAACATAACAGCTTCAAGGTCCATCCACATTTAGCATGTATCAATATTTTCTTTTTTTCTGTTGCCAAGTAAGATCCCACCTGAATAGTGTTCCATTATGTGGCTCTACCACAGTTTGTTTATTCATTTATCAGGTGGTAAGCATTTAGATTATTTCCACTGTGAGCTATTATATATAATGCCGCTAGTAACATACATGTACAAGTTTCTGTGTGGACATATGTTTTTATTTCTCTTAGGTATGTGCTTGGCAGCAGAATTGCAGGGTCATGTGGTAACTCTCTCTTTAGCATTTTGAGGAACTGCCAAACAGTTTCCCAAAGTGGCTACACCATTTACATTCCCATCAGCAATGAATGAGGCTTCCAGTTTCTCCACGGCCTCATCATGATGGTTAATTTTATGTGTCAGCTTGACCCAGACATGGGGTGCCCAGATTAAATGCTTTCTGGTGTATTTATGAGGATTTTTAGATGAGATAAGCATTTGAATCGGCAAACTGAGTAAAGCAGATTGCCCTCCCCAGTCTTGGTTGGGCACTGTTCAATCCACTGAGGGCCTGCATAGAACAAAAAGGTAGAGAAAGGGGGAATTCGCTCTCTGCCAGACTGTTTGGGCCAAGACACCATTGGGCTTCTCCTGCCCTCGACTGGGATTTATACCATTGGCCCTCTGGTTCTCAGAACTGCATCACTGGCTTTTCTGCTCTGCAACTTGCAGACAGCAGATCATGGACTTCTCAGCCTCCATAATTATCAGCCTCCAATTCCCTATAATAAATTATATGTATATGTACAGTTGACCCTTGAACAACATAGGGGCTAGGGGTGTTGACCCTCCCATGCAATCGAAATCCACATATAATTTTTGACTCCCCCAAAACTAACTACTAACAGCTTTCTTTTGACCTGAAGCCTTACCAGTAACATACAAAGTTGATTAACACATATTTTGTATGTTATATACATATACCCCAAGTGGTATATGTAATGTATACTGTATTCTTACAATAAAGTAAGCTAGAGAAAGAGTTTTTTCAAATAATTTCAAATCTCAAAAAAATTTTCAATATATTTATTTTAAAAATCCATGTATATACAGGACCTGTGTGATTCAACCTGTGTTGTTCAAGGATCAACTGTATACACACACACACACACACACACACACACACATATATCCTATTGTCCTATTTCTCTGGAGAACCCTAACGTAATCATCAACACTTGTCATTGTCTGCCTCTTCTATTGCAGTCATCCCAGTCAGTGACAAGTGCAGTCATATGTCAGTACCCATGGAGGATCTGTTCCAGGACCCATCACAAATATCAAAATCCGCACATGTTCCCTTATATAAAATGACATTGTATTACTATCTGCAAATAACCTACATATATCCTCTTGTGTACTGTACTTGAAATCATCTCTAGATTGCTTATAATACCTAATACAATGCAAATGCTATGTAAAAGGTGCTGTTTCACCATTAACTACGGTAGCTGTGGTTTTCCCATAGACCCCCTTTATTA